GATGAAGAGCCTCCAAAGAATCGATCCGATTGGCCTCCACGGTGGAGGAGCTCCACGTGCCCACGCCGAGGACTACCTGGTTTTGTGCCACGGCCACGTGTCGCCCGAGCTGCGCTCCATCGATTTGCCGCTCCATTGGATGCCCAGCACCTCGCTGCCGACGAGCGTGGCAGCCTTCGGGCGGCCCGCGCGGACGAGGACCAAGGTGGGAAGAACGGACTGGGGAAGCTGAGAGGGAGGAAGCTGGAGGTGTGGAGGAGCCAGGTTGGTCGGCAGCGTTCTGGGGGTTTGTTGGTTGAAGATGGTTGAAGTGAAGGCTGTTGGGAGCTTGTCTTCAACAGCTTCTCTCAGTTTTTGTTGGGTTCTTTTCCATGGAGCTCAGCTGAGAGGTTGCGCAAATGGCCACGCAAGACCCACTCCGCAAGTGTGGACGTTGGGTGATCCACTGGACAGATCGCGGTTGTGTTGCATGGTTGAGGGTGGTGCACGTGTCGAGGGTGAGCTTTGTTGGGTGGTGCTTTCAGATTGTTTTATTTTGGGTCAAATTGGGTCTGTCTGTTTTTACCTGTAACAGTCAGTAAACAATTAGTACTATTTTTATCTATTTTTGAACAAGGCCTTTACTAACCACCATCATCCACGGTTACAGGTAGTAGGATAGACCAAAATTTTATATGTTCAACGTTTACTTGGGATGATTGGACCATATTGTTTAGGCTGGTGAGTGGTGGCTCACTCGGAAAAATGTGAGTCAATGGGTGAGCATTTTTTCCGAGTGAGCCACCACTCACCAGCCTAGGAAGCCATGCACAAGGCAGGATCCGTCTGTAGATACTCCCGTCCCCGTGGGAGTTCCATCAACATGTGGAAAAGATGGAATAGCCATAATATACTGAGGTCTTATGACTTAGGACTTACGGGTCTAGACATAGTCGGCAGGGATAGCCAACTGACTCATGTGCCTGGTCAAAAGGCGCTCCCTTCACTCAGTCCTTAGCCTCCAGACGTTTCAATGGTCGCCAGCGATCACCGACTGCTCGGTCTCGACCTTTCGACCGTTCGACGGAGTGAGAGAAGACCTGGGCAGAGAGTGGCGGTGCACGTGCAGCGCGGGGCGGCGCACCCCGGAAAGCCGGTCTGGATTTGATGGATTTGAAGGTCCTACCTGCCGTGAAAAACCGAACCTTGAAGGCATACCTCACCGACCTGAAAAACATCATTTCAAGCGTTTTGGAGGGAGGGATTGCTGGGCCATATGTTTGGGGGAGCACCAAGCTCGGTGAGGGGCTGCGTTCAACTCTTGGCCGCTTGGCTGGCAGGTTTTGGCGCATTGCAGGAGGAAAGAGGAGGCCTCGAGCTCGGGTTGAATGGATAGCAGGGAGGATTTTTCCAAAACTTTATCGTGAGTGGCTGGGCTTCATCCATTTGGATCAACACATTCCTGTACGTATACAGATGGGAAGCACTCTTGACACCGTAGAGGCCATTGCAGCTTCCGCGGGGGCTCCTGTGAACGCCACAGCCCTCCAGACATAGTCGACAGGAAAACCAAAAACCTTCAGTTCATAGACCTGTAGGGAGCACCCTAGGTTTCTCTGCAGGTTTTCAGGTAGGGTAGAACTCAACACAACTTGCAAATCACTCGCATAGACCGCAAATCACTCGCATGGACATTGGAAGATGGAGCCACCTCTGTGAGCACCCATTTTGGCACAAAGGGCGCCCATTTTCCAATTTTTTCCACATCCCTGTACTTGAATGAATAGGTCTTTGATGAGGTTTGCAAGGTGTATACCTGTCTTGGTCTCAGTTTATGATGGCAGGTGCCCACAGGTGACCGTGGAGCCCTCTTCCGCCAGACCCTTCACCCTCAGGCAGAGAGCTGCCTCAGTATCGTGGCCCTGCGAATCTTGACGGGGCGCCGGCATCAGATTCGAGCCCATATGGCGCACATTGGACATCCACTGGTGTGTGATGGGAAGTATGCCAACGAGAAGTTTGAGCAAGATCTTTGGCTCAGCATGCTGGATGTGAAGCTTTCAAGGCAATAAACCACCAATTGCTGCTTAGGTTAGCCCACTTTTTTGCTCGTGGCAGGCTTTGGAGAGCATGTGCTGGGTTGTGGCATGTACCTATGTACAGCATTCACAACTTCCTTCACCATGAGAAAGACTTGGGAATTCCCTGCAAATCCCATTGCGACGAGCATCCTGGAATGACAAAGTTAAAAGGTGATTGTTTTGGAGATTGATTTGGACGAGCATCCTGTGAACTCCCGAAACTGAGCAGCTAGAGACCAATGACCAATGCTTTTGCATCGCACTGACTGCTGACTGGGGGTTTCATGTAGCACGTTTGGCCGGCGACTGGTCGGGAAACGGGCTGGCTGGACCCCACCGCTCTCGTCAACATATGCATCCTCTTGCGCACTGGTGATGGTGCACTTCCCCCCAACCCCCATCCCAAGAACAAACACAATAAGCTTCAAATGGAAGCTGAAGGTAGGCCTTTCACAGACCCTTTTTGCACCACAAACCTGTCACGCTTGTCGTGCCGAAGATCAGCACTCCTAGGCCGAATGGCTTCCAACCATCATTACTTGAATGGCTTCCAACCGAGCCACCCGTATTTTTACTAAGGATCTTACACTACGAAACCAGGTTGTTCCAATTTTTTTCATGATCCTGGACTTCCAGAGGCCGATGCCTGTCCCCCCCGGGCCTCTTGAGGGACCGACCATGACCATACCGCTTCATTGGCCGAGACGGTCGAATCTGAGGATCGAATCTGGTGTAGCAGGACCTTCCTCCATCGATACTTCCTGGCCGCTTGGAGCGATCTGGATCGTATAGGTTGGGTTTAGGGAGGGGCAGATCTGGGGAGATCTGGGGAGTCTTGGGCATTTTGAAGCCAAGAGGGAGGTCTGGATCGTTAAAGGAAGGAAGATCAGAGAAGGCAGATCTTGGGAGCTGGTCACTTTGACACCAACTCAGATGATTCTTGTCTTTCAGTGGGTCTGTCGAGATGATTCAAGCTTGTAGGAAAGGTGGATCAAACTATTGGCGGTGGATGGAAGAGTGCCGAGTTCCCATCTATTGATTTGTCAGCCTCCTGCTGCTCCTCTAGGCGGACATGTCACATGTATTCACATGTCACGGATCAGTTTTCGAGGTTCTGAATCCTCTCCGTGCCCCAACAGTCCAACTAATTCAAATCCATGTAGACTCTTGACACAGAGGTTTTTCAATCCAAATGTTTATCTCTTTCCTCAAGAGTCTCTACATTATAAGTCTTGGATGTCGACCGTCGGCAAAAGGTGGATCGGTCTCTTCGGACCTCACGGACCTCGCCGCGAGAGGATCCAGGAGCCACTTCAACAATGCCTTCCTCGACGTCAGTGGATAAGCTTGAAACACCTTTTGGGGGGGCTGGTTTTCCCACTCAACAAGAACAGGGGAAAGTTTGGCTACATAATCTGAATATTATTTCCAACCAAAGCCGGAAGAGTGAGTTGCAAAAAAATTGGGAGACCTCTCAGATTTGCTGAGAAGAAGATGTTGACTCGCACGTCAACATCCACCGCTTAGCGGGGCACGGGGCACCTACCTTCCAAAACGCACACAGTACCCAGGATCCACAGTCGGGGTGATTAATGGATACCCCTTAACCGTCAACCTCTAACAAGCTACTGTATGAATGGACACCCCATGGCCAGAGGGCCCTGGTACTTGCCATGTTGCCTTGCTGCGCCATCTCCGCCGAGACGAGACTCGTCCTCCTCGCTCTCCCATTTTCGCTCGGCGCACGCGCCACGACGCACGCGCCAACTCGACCGGAGCTTAGGAGCTGGCGGCTCTGGAGTGCACACGGCACAGCGTCCGGGCGGCGCTGCCCGATGACTTAGCGAAGGTGTTAGAGACATGGCAACGATGCTGAGGGACGGGGTGCGGATGCCGTTGGTGGGATGTCATGAAGTGCATGTCGACGAAGTGGATGATCATTACCCTCATGAAAGAAGCCCGGTTTTTGGACCTGCTGGCTTCAAGACAAGCCCAACAATTTTTGTGGCCTGTCAGCGAAGGCATGTGCTGACTCATCGTCCGTGCCCTTGTCTTCCAGGAGTTCTATTGGTGTGGTGAACCACCCTGGGTTCCTGGGTGGTTGTTTTGAGTACTGTATATTCTGATTTTTCGACCTTTACTTGAAATGAAGAAGAACCCACTAACCTCACATCTTTGTTTAGGGTTAATTGAAACATCTGAAACATTGAAACCACCCAGCAGCCACCAGGACCTGGATCTCTCCATGTTGAACCCCACCTGGCTCCACACCTGCCATCCACCGCCCAGGACACCCTGGAACCCGCCGACGAGGCCTCCGCCGCTGCCTGGGACGCCTGGACTGCGCTGCCGTGCTTCGACCAAGCAGCAGCGCTGAGAAGAAAGAGAGTCCAACGGACGGAGAACGTGGGTGCCGGATGGGAGTGATGGGAGTGATGTGGGGGGGGCCATGATGGACATGAGACCCAGGCCATGGTATATTCACATACGTTCACCCCAGGTCAACCACCCCAATGTAGGTTAATATTCCATACATGGAGTGTCTGGTAGGAAAACGGATGGGAGCGAATGATGGCCTGTGGGTGCAGGATGGGAGTTATGATGGAATTGTGATGGTTCTTTTGGGCTGTTGTTATTTGTGCTTCACCAGCACCACCTAAAGGATGCGTACCGGAAGGGAAATACATAGTCAGGGTGGTCTATAAACCACCCTTTGGGTGGTGCTGGTCATCTCCCAATTGATGGGATGTTTTTCTCCATGGGTTTCCGATAGATGTTCCATATTCTTCCCTTCTCAATCTCAGAAACCGGTTTTAACTACCAATTCTGAGAGTCCCTGTGGCCGCCCGCCGAGAACCTGGCCGCCTAAGCCTTGCCGACCCCTACCGCTTCCGCTCGCGCGCGCGCCTCCGCGAGCCACGCGGAGCCTGCGCCGACCAGGTGGGAGTCTTGGACCCCCGCACGGTGCGGGAGCCGAGTCGCACGGTGAGTGCGGCGTTTGGGCCACCGGGGCGTGGAAGGGCGTGGAAGTGCACGAGACATCTTGGCCTACCTAATCCGGTGGAAATAAAAGGAAATACGTGGAGACTCATGGTATTTGGATGTACTTGGCCATGTTTTGGCTTCGAAGAATTGGAAGGCCCAGGACTCAGGACGTTTTAATGCAGTAAGCCTACAGTTGCTTTGGGCTTGCCAGCTGGCCATTCAACTGGCCAAGAACATGTCAAAAGGGCACCTTTTGAGATGTTTGAGTCAAACGAGGGGACAAAAAGACCAGCAAAGGTTGACTCACTCAAATTGTTTGAGTGGGTCAACCTTTGCTGGTCTTTTGGTTGTCTTGTCCTCTGTGTTCACCTTGGGCGCAGTTCTTTGTGTGTTCCGCGCCTCTCTCATACTAACCAGCCATAACCGACCTCGACGATGTGCCCAAAACAGCAGTTTTTGCTTTTCCAGGTCTTTGGTGTTTTTGATGTCTTTTCCAGGTCCATGTCGTAGTTTATGGTTGGTTTGGGTTGGCTTCACGAAGTGTCGACCTCTGACTTGCTTTGTGCAGCCAAGGTGCTTTCCATGCGGTGTTTGTCTCGCACAACCGGTCACGCTGGAGATGGCACGTGCCCGTGTGAGGCCCTTTATCATCCTTTATCCCTATAAGACTCAATGACAATCCACGCAATGTTTGAGGGGAATACACCATCAGTTTTTTTTGGAACGGCACAGATGTTACAGCACAAAAGTGTGTGAGCACAGCCACCACCGATCTACGACCTGCGTTTGTCGAACCATAAGGGGAAAAAGATCAAGAAAACCGTCAACCTTGCCATCGAACATACCCGGTGAATGATCTAACATATCTTCCAGTCCATGACGGTCCAGTCATTTGACTCGGCAAACCCATGCAATTTGGAACACCCCCCCCCGGTCAAACGAAGCGCCGTGGCAACATGAAAAACTGGCGAAGCCGGTGACCGCTGGCTCCAACTGGCTGCTTCGAGGTGAATGTGCTCGTCCGGACCCCCAGGACCCCTCAGGACCCCCCAGGACTCGGAGTCAGACGTGAGCGCCGGGGTGGATCGGAGGATCGGGGCCAGGGGATGAAGACCAAAGAAACACATGTACAGTGTACAGTAGGTATACGAGTCAGTAAGAGGAACAGTGACATGAGTGAACAGGGATTCGTCTTCTCTGAAAGTGAACTCGGAATGTGGGGGGTTTTCCTCGGTGATCTGAGGGGCCGAAGCCCTGGTCCATTACTGCAAGAGTGGGGATCAGGCTATCGGGATAGGTATCAAAGACGTATCAAACCTGATACGCATCAAAGATAATGATAAGCATCAAGAAGAACACTAATGATCAACAATCAACAACAAACTGGTTTCCTAAATCCCCTGGACCCTTGGTCCCCGGTTCCTTGGTCCTTTGACCCCCCCCTATCCCTAGGTCCCCTCTCCATCCGGCAGGTCGGATGTCCTCCCCCAGTGCGCCTGGTCCCATGCTAGTCCGGTTGGTCCTTGGGTTGGCTTTGGGGCCACCAAAGGACCAAGTCTCAAGAAGAGAGGCCCCAAGCCCCAAGCCAACAAAAACCCGCAAAAAAGTGAAAGCCCAACACAAACCCAAAGAGATTTGAATTGAAGACCCATGCCGGCCCCAAACCAAACGTGTTCTTCCTTTGCTTTCTTGGCTCTTTTGTTGCTTTCGCCGCGTGGTTCTTCCCCGAATCTAACCACTGGGTAAACCATTTGCTGAAACATGGCTGAAACCATCTGAAGGAAACTCGAAGGAGCAACCGTTTCATGGAAGACGCGATTTCTGGGATAGGTCTTTGAACGTTTTTTTGGTGGTACCACGAGAGGTGGACAGTGACCGGGACCATAGGACCCGTCACCTGGAGTACCCTGGCCTGGGATAGACAAAAGGGTGCTTCAACCTCTTTTGGTACGTGTATGGCCGTGAACCTTGAACAAGATGATGCCAGACAAACGGGTCGAGGAAGAGGGATACTTCCCAAAACAACTGAATTCAAACCATCTCAACTGCAGTTGTTTGAGTTTCAGTGCAGATCCGCCAGCGGGCTGATCCATAAAGATTTTTGAGGAAGGTGCCATTCCAACGGCGCAGACCTTTTGTGAGCCACCCGAAAAAAGAATGTAGAGGAGGAAGGTGCCATTCCAAGGTAGCAGACGATGTGTCAACACATTGTAAAATTTGGTGCCACCCACTTGAAGATAGAATTTAGAAGAGGGTGGTGCCACTACTACTCCTTCTGCTGCTGCTGCTGCTGCTAGGATTCGAAGGATGTACACGATCCCAAATTTGATCATGTGAAAGACGTGAGCGCAGTGAATCAGAAAGGCGGAAACTTAGCGACAGAGTGCGATGCGGCTACTCTTCGTTTGCTTTCTTGGGCGCGTCCTGCGGCAGACTTCAAATTGCAACACTTATTTGGTGTGATGCACTTGCTGAATATGTTCTGAGCTGCGTCGATCTGATGCTCGCGCAGATCAGCCAGGTCAGAACCGGTTTCCTGCCCCCAGGGACTTGGAGAATGAACTCATCGTTTAAGCCTAACCTCACTGCTGCCTTGCCTTCTGGTACGCATGCTTGCGATCCAGATGACATGGCCGCAAGCGGCACCTTTTCAAGTGCTGCAAAACCATGGGCGTCTCTCGCCCTGGCATCGTGGAGGCATTTGTGGCCTTACATTCTGCGCATCAACACCCAGCACATGCAACGGCATGCAACGACCAAGAGTGATCATTCAAGGTCGCAACAACGGGAGTCATGCCGGTCCATCGGACCAAACCCACCGTAGTCAACAACAACCCAGCCCACCTAGCTCCTTCAAACGACCCCTCGCAGTGTGCAGGAGGTGGACTCTAGACACTTGCATCACCTTGCCAACATCACTGTTGCCAGATTGCACCAGCCTTCCCTACAGACCTCCCCCCACCTCAACCCACGCGCCGTTTTCTTCTCAGACCACCAGCAAACCGCCGCTTCATGCCCGCGCCACCTCAACCACCTCAACCGCTTCTGAACGTCACGTCCTGCTGTTCTTCCACCGGCGGCGTTGACGTTGACGCAGACGCCGGTGCCAGGTGACGACTACGGTCCTCTCCATGTCGTTGACGCCTTTGCTCGCCACCTTCTCCGACGTTGGGGCACGGAGGCGCGTCTCGGGGCTGGAGGGCTGCGTCGTCCAGGTGGGGCGGGGGGTGGGGGCGACATGGAACTGGTTGGGTTTTCCCTTTAGGGAAAAGGCGGTGGGGGCGGTGCCAGGGTCATTGGTCATGGATGGTCATGGTTGGCGCTCCCATCAATTGCATTGCTGGCTGTGGTGGTTGGTCATTACACATTGCCACATTGCATTGAACTAGTTTGAACTTGAAACAGCCGCTGATACGTTTATAGTCCATCAAAAGAACAACTCTATAGTCGTTGCTTTTCATCAGCTTCAACCTCAGGACATGAATCGTCAAGCAAGGCGGATTCCTCTGTACTTGTGGCAGGTATCTCTAGAATATGCCATCATGTAACCCATTGCGTCGCAGGTGTCCCACAAACCCTCTTATAATATACCTTATATCCCTTCTATACAACCTATAAGAACCTATATATCTAACTAACGATCTAAACACCATAAGAATCTCTGACCCACCCCCCCCAAGCGGTCTCAAATGCTGAAGAAATCCATCCAACATGTCCGGCCGATGGGACCTGTTGTGGCCGCTTCCGGCGTGCGCCGTGCACCGTCTCCGTCTCTTTGGGATGGGGTTCAGTCAGGTCACCTGCAGTTCCTCGTAGAGGACCACAATACAATACAATATACAGAGGTTAAGACCAGAAACCACAGGGACTGAGCCAATCGCTTTTTGTCACAGGTGTCCCTGACATCCAGAATGCAAAACCATAACCAACCCAGAACTAGGCAAACCCTCCGAGCTTTCCCCCAAAAGCTAAGACTCCTCAGCTTGCGAGGCTCCGCGAGCGGCGAGGTCTCAAGACCGTGGAAGGGCGTCTTGGTCGTGGTCTGACGGTGGGGGATGGGGATGGGGTTGGAATGTCAGAAGCTCATGATAAACCCACCCAAGTCAAAAGGAACTTTTAAAGGAACAAGTCTGCATGAAATGTGTTTTTCTAAGTAAACTCATCTCATCCTCAAGAGCACAGCAGTGCAGAAGATGCCGGAAGACCATGTTTCATTTATAGGTTGGTACCACATTGTGTTAATAGGGGCAGTCAGGAGAAGATAGCTACAAAGTTTGGTTCCCACGTCCATCAAACTATGTCACAACCACAAAGAACGGTCATGGCAATGGTTGTTCCGCTGCCATGGTAAAGGTTCCGTACATCAAAGCCCTGCACCTTGGAACTGCTTGTGTGAGCCAGAGTTCTTTCCCGGTGTCAGAAGCACCCCTGGCTGGACCCTTGCCGGGGTCAAGAAGGTGATACTTTCGCTCCAAACGGTTGGACATATCAGTGAAAGATGGCTCAACAAGGGTTTCACGTCCTTATTTCCAATAAACTTGTAAACAAAATCAGGGGGACATATCGATATCCATTCTATGTATCCATTCTGTGTTCCAAAAAGACCATTTGAAGACTGGTGTTGCTCGCCCAATCCGGTGGTCTTATCAATCTTCACCTGAGGACCGATGAGATCGGCGCCGGATGCTTGAATCGACTCTCCAAAGACGACCGGGGCTTCGTCGTGATCTGCGGCCGCCCGGGTCGCACGATGTTGAGATGGGGGGAGGGCGAAGGGAGAGATGTGGAAAGCATGTTCCATTGAAGAACCGAGAAGAGGTGGAGTGTATGACGCAGTGTGCCTTGTGCCACGATGTGTTTTGTGTTTTTGCAAACATTTTTGGATGGGATGCATACCTAGATCTTCAGTCCGGCACTTTTGCAGGGTCCGGCGCCGGACTTCCAACTCCGGCGTTTTTCTGGATTTGGTCCGGCAGTTTTTCCAAGTCACTTTATGTGGATTCTCAAGGCTTTGCATTCTTTGTGGTCCGCATTTCTTTGAAGGTAAACCCACTGCTGGTGCAATGATTTTGCTTGCAAAGCGTGCTTGTTTGCCTGTTCCGCTGTTTTCTCATTCCACCGGCTTCAGCATGGTTCACACTGGATCAATCAGATCCGTTTAGGTGATCTTCTAAATGAAATCGGGTGAAATCGGTACAGTGCGAAAGAAAGACCCAAGTGGGTGTACCTAAGCTGAAAGAACATATAGGCAAACATGTGCTCCCATTGTTTCTGGATGTCGTGGCGCTGGGATATAGTTCTAGCTGCGCAGGTTTGCAGAGCCTGCCGGACAAGTTTTGGGCTGTGGAACATGTGTTGTTCAGAATCTCACTGTTTTGGAGAGAGTTGCTTTAAAAAAATTGCGCGTCGCAACTCCGGCGTAATTTCCCGTAACTCCGGCTTTTTTTTGGACTCAGTCTTCTGAAGGTTTGAATTTTGAAAAGTTTTTCCAAGAAGAGTTTCGACAGGAACCATGAGTTCTGCTACTTTATTGGTGGGGCCGTCCTGAGGCAAGCTGTAAAAACAGTTAAAAGTTTCTTGGAAGTCTCTGCTTGGGCACACGTTTGCGAATATTTTGTGATGGTTCTGCTCTTAGGCCATTCGGAAGATGGGCGGGGGCAATGGGAACTGGAAGGCTCCAGTGTTGGGTTGTGGAATGAGTGTGTTCCAGAAAAAAACTACTCGTGGCACAAAGGCAGTTTGCTTGTGTATGATCCAACCTTTTATCATCTGTTTTTTCAGAATCTTGGATCCGGATGTATTTTCAGGTCTCCGGCGTTTTTTTCGGAATCCGGCGGAAAAATCTGCCGGATTGAGGTCCGGCACTTTTTCCGCCCAAAGGAGGATCCAGGTATGGGACGCATGTTTGCGGCATGGCTTTCTACTCTACTGGGTTTTGCTTAGTCGACGAAGGGAGCATCGCTTGCGGCGATGGAGTGCGCACCATCACCAGCTTTCGCCACGAGCTCAATGACGCCAACAACAACTGCGATGTAGGAGCGTCAAAGTGGGACACTTGAGGCAAGGAGGTGGTCTGTGAGGAGACATAGTCTGGTGTGGAGACAAACAGGCGTTCGACGCGTGCTTCTTCGCCGACAAGGTCTGCCTCGACAGACATGACGGAAGCAGGCTACCCTCCACGCCTCTTCTGTCATCGTTGGCAATCTCTCGGGAGCGCCTGGCTGCTTCACCTACAATGGACAAAGGGGTTATCATTAGGCTGTTCGAAGGAGCCCACTACTGGTTGTGCGGCAGCAACCACGTCAAATACGGCAAAGGCAAGGGCGTCCCCATCGACAGCATCGTACGCGAGAGCGCCGACGTCATGTACTCATACGCCTTTGCAGCCGAGGCTGCCTCCACCGGGTACCGTTAATGTGTACCGCGTAGGCTCAGGCTACGTCATACAGTGCGGCGAAGGGTCATGTTTTCGTTGGACACGACATCGTCAAGGGCTGCTTGGGCGCTTTTCGAGGGTTCAATCTGGTCGGACAAGAGTGCCCCGGATTCATAGTAACCACCTTCTCCGACTGTAGTTGGACGAGCTTTGGGGACCAGTTCGTCAACCGTGTCAGACGGGATTCGCTCGACAAGGTTTGGCAACACATGAGAAATGGCACAGCTTGGTCAGAGTTCGTGTGCGCGGACGTGGTCGCCTACGAAGATCTCAGGGCAGGCATGGTATGTGTTCGTACTGGGTGCCTCGGACACTGCCTAGCCAGGATTAGCGAGACTCAAGGGCAACCTGCGCTGGCCGTAGAGATCCTCGCATCAGAGTACTGCCGGGGAGGCGCCGACCTCGGCGACAAGAGCATCGAGATCATCGCAATAAAGCTCAAGTGCGCAACCTACTTAAAGGATCTGCTTTTTACTAACTAATTATCATAATTAAGATAAATAGATAACTTTTGTTAACTAGTTATAACTAGTTAGCATCTCAATTTTTTCAACAGGCAAACATTGATTTATTAAAAATCAGCTTCTACAAAAAAAGACAAGCAACACAACAAACCCAATGCACCAGAGGCTATCACAGCCATCAGCCAACAGCCTTCAGCCTTTCAAAAGCTTTTGCCATAGCCATCAACAACAAACATGCTGTCCATAGCCCAGAACATATGTCAGCCAACAGCCAACAGGCTTTCAATAGCCAAAGGGCTTTGTTCACAGCCAGCAGGCTTCTTCCCATAGCCAACAGGCTTGCATGAGGCAGCCAACAGGCTTCAAACAAACAGCCCACAGGCTTCAAACAAACCCATCCAGCGACAAAACCATCACACCAACACATTTTGTCACTTTCCATGCAGGTCATGTGCAAAGATGGCAAAGGGCAGCAGGATGGTGACATTCTCCCTGTTTGCTTGTGCATATGCAACTGGTGTCAACAAGTCGGCTGCCTCTATCAAGCCCATGTTTTCTGTTGCTTTGCAAACTACATGCTGCTGCCCAGGTTTGTATTGCTCCACCAGTGTCCACATTTTCAACACTGCCCTACATTGAACTGCATGGTGCTGGACACACTTGTATACAAAACAACATCTCCTTTACTCACTCTGCATCCACTTTCAAGTTTGGCCTCCAGACTGGTGGTTGCCTGGCTAATGTTTCCCCTAAGATGTCTGACAGCCATTTGAGGCACCTCTTGGGAGCATTGCAAGGCTGTGTCAGGTGGACCCCCTCTGTGAAGCAACCTGGTTGCTGCAAGACAGAAACCTCCTGTGCAACAACCTGTTCCAGCAAACTCCTTTCATAAGCGCCTGTGTATTTCATAGGAGTTGCATACTTTGTAATTGCTTTATGCTTTCGCTCAGCAGTAAAGCAACTTGGGAGCATCTGGTGTCTTCCATATTCATCAGCCAGATGCAAGAGCCAATGAAACTTTTTGACCCAACCCTTGTCAAAGTTAGCCTTGCCAAAGCTGGCCAAACACTTCTCTACTCTTGCAAGCAAAGAATCTCTTGTGACCATGCCAGCAGGAATCCCAGAATGCAGCAAATCCAGGACACAGCCTGAATTGACTTGAAAGAACAAACAAAGCAGCCAACTGGCTTCCAGCTTATGGTTTTGTGCACAGCAACAGCATAACATGCCAAGTTGCTCATGTCCAAGAAGGCAGCTGTAGCTTCAGGTGCAATGGACTGAGGTACCACAATGCTCATCCAGGAATATCTGAACACAGGATAGCAGGTTAGCATCTCTGATGCCTGCAAAGATATCCTGTCATTTTCCTTGTATTTCTTCAGCTTCTTGTCTTCAAAGCAATTTGCCAGCCCATTTGCTCTCCATGCCTTTGGAAAAGACCACAGGCTCACTTGCTTGTGCAGCAACTCCCAGCATTGCACAGCATCCACTGCAACATATGCCACAATTGGCAAAGTGCCTTGTAGAACTGTGTGCATCCAGTCGTGCACAAACTGTTCAACAGGGTGTAGCACACCCCTCTCCAACAAGGCACTGTTCAAGAGCAATGCACAAGGGTGATAGGTAATCCCTGCTGCCATCTCCCACAGGTTAAACGCTTTCTTTGTGCAACATTTGCTTTTCATATGTAGCCTCAGAGCTAGACACCAAGGCCAAATCACTGTATTTCTCTGCTCTAGCCTGCATTGAAGAGCTTGGGGCTGTTGATGTAAAAGTGCGTGTGTTTGCCCACAGCAGGTGATCACCTGAATCGCCTTTGCCATTCCACAAAGCTTTGTGTGCCAAGCCATCTTGCACAACAATCCCCAATTTAAAAAACAAAGTCATAGACCCTGAGGAATGCTTCAGCAAGAGTCCCCCACATTGGGGGTCTATGAGTGCATCACAAAAGATTGACTTTAAAATCACACCAGCAATCTGACCAGGCCCTGCACACAGGCTGGCCACAAATGAGCTCTTCTCTATAGCAATGCAAAGCCAAGCATTCTCATCACTGATGTGTTTGCCAAACTCCTTGAATGTACAATAATAGCACCAACTCTTTCTGCTTGCTTTTCCAAGAATGTTTCCAGGAATCACTTCATCTGAGTACAGTATGAGTGAATAAGGTTCAAAGCTAGAGCTGGGTCTCTTCTTATGGCAAGCTTAGAGGAGCTCAGTGAAGCTTCCACCTTTTGCATACAATGCAGCAATGTGGCACAATGCATTGCAATACACCATATTCTGTGTGGAGCCATCCAAGGCCTGCACTTCAGCAGTCTGCAGCAGAGGGCCCAGCTGGCCTCCATGCATAGAATCCAGGAGCTGTCGCCTGGCAGCCCTTTGGTCCCTGCTTGAAGTCAATTCAGGGATGCCACTCTGCTTGCACTCATTCAGTATGCTTTCCAGGGCTGCTTGGGAATGTGCAGGGGGGCCTCCCTCTGAAGTCTTGCAGCCTTGCTAGTTTGGCAGCCCTGCCATGACTGGACATGGGAAGGGTAAATGCACAGTCAACATCATTGGTTGGAGCACATGCGACTGCAAAAACTCAATGAGATGATGTGGGAAGTTCTGTTATGGGGTAACAGAGTACAACTTTTGTATGCTTGTGTGCTGCAACAGCATGCATTCATAGCTTCTGGTTTGGTTGTTACACAGGGAAGCTTAGAGCCCACAACTTTCAGAGATTGAAGGCACTAAAGGTTTCCAAAGGCAAATTGCACAACAAACAGGAACAGCCAACAGGCTGTAGCCAACTGGCTTCAGGCTTGCAGGTTCACATGCACACAAAAAGAAGCCAACAGGCTGACACAAGTTCACAACAAATATGCAGCAGTTAACAAGTGTGTTTTTTGCCTTCACAGCTAACTGGTGCTCTTGCTTGTGTCTTGGCAACCCCTACAACAATGCCATTTGGCAAGTTGCTCACCCAATGCCAAGTCATACACATATGAGCTCCACATACCTAACCATCAACCAGCAGGATTCAAAAACCAGTGGCCAAATCTGGCCTTCTTGAAAGAATTCACTTGGACTTTGATTGCTTTGCAGCATGCCAAGTTTTCCAAGCTTCCCTACCAGGCAAGCGAATGCCCTTGTAGGTGGGCTGGATGCATACTGAGCAACCTCCCAAGGCTCCCCTGCACTGCACCTTGGACAGCCTCTTCACTGAGAACGGTTCCTTTTTTGGAAGCCACCTTTTTCATTTCTTTTTTCATCTTTTTTCTAGGTTAGGTAGGTTGACTTTAGGCAGCTTTTAGCAACTCACGTTTTAAACCTCAGTTGTCATGTCAAGTAAGGAGATCCTTGTAAGGACCTGTGGCGTAAGCAAAACACTGGTGGGCGTAAGCAATTTTAGCCAATGTTGTTGGCGTAAGAGATTATTCGTGATTTGTGAAATGGCAGTTTTGGACAAAGAACCTTTTATATTCCAAGCTTACAGCTTAACATACATCCATGGGATCACTGTCAGGTTGCTGGACATTTGTTTCCTCAAGTGGCGGCAAGCTCCATGCTGCATGTTGAAAGTGATTCTGATGATTCTGCAAGATTGAAGTGCATGGAAAACGAAATCATGATAAAGCCCGCAATGAAAAGGATTGTCCACCAAGACTAGGAGTTTTAACAACTGCACTGTACTGTCGGATGGAAACAGCAACACTGTAATGTGCCCATAGTGTCATACCTTTTTCAAGACCTTCACCTCCAAACTTGTTTCCGGGTTGGAAGGGAAATTCCGCGTAAGGTCCGCGTAAGCGGCGCGTAAGCCAAAGCTGCTTTTGCCAGTAGTTGCCCATGTCTCCCAAACACAAATCATTTTCGCAACTTGGTGCAGAGCGCCAGCGACTTGTCGCAAAGACCGTCTCGGACATTTTGGAACGACATTGCCCTTCTCTGGATGAAGCACACCTCTTGCTGAACAAGGCTTTCTCTAGACTCTAGATGTCAATCTGTCCTTCCTGGCCTGTCCGCTATCAGTGGTGCCCAGTCTGTCTGTCAGGCCCGCGCGCTCAACAGAGGTGCTGCCAAGAAGCGTCGTCAACTTCGTCATCTGCGGGCTTCTTCTGTTGCTGCGTCTTCATCGGCTTCATCTTCTTCGTCCACGTCATCATCTTCTACTGCTTGATGCTGCCTAGAAACGCTGCGGTTCCTGCAGGTAAAAGTTGCTGCACGTAAGCTGGGGCTGTGGCCGGGCACTAAAAATGTCCAGCGTAAGGTCTGCGTAAGCCGGTTTATTCAATATTCCGCGCAAGCAAAACTGTGCGCGCATAAGCAAAACGTAAGACGCGGCGTAAGCGTTGCCTTGTTTGGTGCCGGGATATAAGACGTTTAAAACACAGCTCACCTTTTTTGTACCTTTTTTTGTAATTTTTAATCTGTTAAGATTTCTGAACAATACTAGCCAGATTCAAACACAACCCTAGTGCTTGAGGGCAACAAACATCTGTTTCTTCAAGCTCCTTCTTTTGGCAAATCCCAGAATCTAAGGCTACAACGTGGTAGGTCGCACCATTTGTCGCCTCCTCGACAGCGAGGGCGAGGTGCACGTCGTGTGCGCGCGTACGTGCGCGTTGGCGGTGCCCGGCGCGACCCGGTTCCGCCTGGGAACCCGACGTCCGCGGCACTCGATGTCGCTGAGGAAGTCGATTCGGGGTGTAGATGGGTGTTTGGGTAAAGATGGGTGGTACTTTCACCTGATGGTAGTTGGACTTCTCAACCTGCAAATTGTTTAATTGTGTTTTTTTAATCCTTATGGCATCGTACTTAAAAGCCCAGGGTGTCCTGTTTTTAGATGAATAACGGTTTTAATGCGCAGCGATGGGTGGTTTGACGCATGAGTGAAGATATGTGGCAGATCTGGAGCGAAACCAGGGGCCTACAGAAGAATTGTTAAGTTCAATATGACAAGGGTGGATTTCAATAATAACATACATTTTTTATATTTGTTCGTCCTCGTTGGTTCTTGATCGACCAGAGTGCTGCTTGGAGCTTGCGGGGAGTGCACCAACTTGACCCATCTTGGGTTGGGGAAAAGTCGGAATCATAAACTATAATATTGGACCTTCTCTACTCCTGAAAAATTGCCACAACCAGTGATGCTCAGGCCATCCGACCCCCCCAAACAATGGCACCAAGACGTATGAACTATATTACGGTTCGGACGATTGGCCAGGCCCAGTACGTTGTCTTCGAAGATGACGTGAAGACAGCCCAGGAGGTGTGTTTGGGGGGGATTGGTTCTCCGGCACCGGCAGGGGCACCCTGTGCCTGATCTCCTGATGGGGATCGGATCGTCAAGGGCTGACGGTGTCCCTGTACCAATCGGATTTCTCTGCTCAATTTCGGGGGTCTCCCAAACTTTCCCCACAGAAAGCATCAAGACAAACACACCATGGAAATCCGATGGAGCATTTACAATTTACATACTTCGTCAACACTACTATAGTAGAGAGAGAGATTGTGAACTATCAAGGCCCAGCATCACCTCAAACAAGAAGGGTATGATGTTGGCGTTGCCTCAAATGAGTTCCAGTCACCACGTCCCCAGAACCGCTCACCTCCGGTGACCCAAACGGGGAGACGGGTCTCGGCGTCGACCTCCAAGCGGCGCAAGCCTGGGGTTCCAGGAGGTGGCGGGTCCAAGTGGCGGGCTTGGGGTCAGCTGTATGTGTTATTCTAGAAGTCATTCGTGTCATTCTCTTTTACCAGGAGAAGTAAGACTTTGCAGATCTCCTCCCCAAGGCTCTTGGAGACTTAGAAATACAGGGATGAACAGGGGAAGGTGAACTGTGAAGTCGGGTTTGAGGATCCTGAAAGACCCCTGCACATCACGTGTCGGATGGGCAGAGAGATCGTGCAAGAGGTTGGGGGGGAGCACATCATGGGAAGTCGCGGTGCCGTGACAAGGAACATCTATGTCATCTATGTCTTAAATGTTCCTTGTCACTATGTTCCTTGTCGCGTACCTCAAGAGCCACCCCGCAATGACTTCGACAGACTTCGGGCGGAGAAAGAGGTTCACACTGCCTGAAACCTGGAAGTGTAGGGCTGTGCCGCCTCCAATGAAACCGGAGAAGCTCCGTGGTGCCGTGCTGAAAGAAGAGACTCCGAGGATCTAGACGTCGCATCGCTCCACCTAGTGACCTAGTCTCGTGGGCACTGAGTGACTGGCCACTGCCGCAAAAGGAAAAAAAACAAGAAGGGGCAGTGGCTCGAACTGGGAGGTCTCCCTATATTTTAATGCACCCAAGTCACCACTGGAAAGCCATGGCAAGGTCAATCACTTTAGGAACGTCGAAAAAGACTTAAAATGACTTAAAAGCCCCAGGAAGGGAGTTCAACCCCCAGTCGAAGAAACACTTGGTTTGGACTTCTCCACATGGTTGAAGTTCCGCCCTTTTTCACACGCACTTCGCATCCCTACTTCGGGGCCACTCTGGGGGATGTCGCTCGCGCGAATCCGCGAATCCCACCCGCGACGATTGGCTCGCGATACAACTACTCAACTTGCGCTCCAGTGATCAATGGAATGTTGTCGTTCTTTTTCGTTTGGACCGGCGATTTCCCAAACAGTATTGTTACATTAAGTAGTGCAGACAGAACAAAGGAGTAGTGTACATTAAGTATGTCTTTCTTATTTAGTATGGTCTTAAAGTAGTGTTATACTTTCATTGTTCGAACGCATGCTGCGTGGGTGAAGTTTCTTTCCTGGGTCAACAGATGTCGACACCTTTTCTATGACCCGTGTCATGGGAGCTCATCCACCTTCCAGAGAAGACAAAAGATCGAAGAGCCCAAGGGCTTTGATCGTGCTGTCTGTATAGAATTACAGAGCAGTTCGTAGAGCAGACGATGATATTTGTTTACAGCGAAAGCTATCAAGAGAATTCAAGAGACACATGTACCAAGAGACACATCTACCGTATACCACGAGGACTCTACAGTATACAGCGCCCTAAAAGCTTTTGCTTTTGGACCCGCCTCCGGACGCCATGGAGCTGCAAGCGCTTGGTGTGTGCCCAATGGCAGGAGACGAGACGAGGTTTTGTCCAACTGGAGGACCAAACAGGTGAACATCCAAAGGGCCAGTGGGTGCCATGGAGCAAGTTGTGGGGTGATGTCATATGATGTTTGGATTGTACTCTTTCAAGCAGGTCTCATGACTCATGAAGATTCACAAGCTCGAACTTGAACCTGCTCAGAGGTATCCAAATCAACTTGATGGTCTTGGAAACTCATTCCAAGGCTGAGCTGCCCTCCAAATACTGTTTGTCGAGATTGCCCTGAGAAATCCTGAGAAGAAGATGGCACTCCTTTATATACAAAAAGGGTGGTTCCACTTGATCTCACTTGTGCATCGCTGTTCCCTTTTTAAAACACAGACGTTGGGCAAAAGAACATGTGTGAGCTTGTGGAAGTCTTAGGAGCCATATATCCTCAGGGTCTTTCCCTTGACAGTTTAATCTCTTTGCCGCAAGTTCTTGCAACCGCTCTCTTTCGGAGACCTGTTTGGAGTCGGATTGATGGGAATGGAATGGAGGAAGAGGGCAAGGGAGAATCAAGCGACTGAAGGTCTACTGGAGTTGGATCCGTTTGGGGTTGTCATGGCACAGTGGCACATCTGTCATGTACTCTCCGACTCAATAACATGGAAGTGGATGGCACCCCCTGTTTGCAGAGGAAAATGTGTTTTTCACTAACACCGGTGCCCAAAAAATGAAGCGAATGAGGTGGAGCGATGGCTCCAAATAGGTTTACATGCGCGAACGTCCCAGAAAACCAGAAGATTGCTTCTCAGGCTATAGCCTTTAGAGCTCAAAAGCGGATCAAAAGTGACTTAAGCAGCGGACTCTACATGCAACTTATAATCTTATGCGACTTGTGTCCCAGCACCGGCACAGCAACCCTACGCAACCCTTTTTCTGAAAAATACATGCCCCACCATTCGACAGCCAGGGAGGCTGCAAAGTTCGTGTATGAGATGACCATTCCTCAAGTGAATAAGCTCAACAAAAAAGGAAAGCCGTCATATGCGAGGATAAAGTGTCATTGGATACTGATACTGTGGGATTGTTTGACTTTTGACACACAGCCGGCCCCCATTTGCAGGAGGGTAGTGTTCACAAGCTCTACCTGGAGTTGTGTTTTGTTAATGTTTTCTGTCCGATGTTTTTGTTTGTGGCGTCGTTTGCAACCATGCATCACACAAAAGCAGGGCTCAGGTGCACAGGGTTTTGAAGACATTTGCACCTGTGTTGGGGCGCGGGCGATGTTTTGTTTGCCTGCACCGTGGTTCCACGAAACGTTGTGGCTTATTTCAGTGCCCAAAGTGGCCGCCTATGTTGAAAGCAGGAACACACTGGCACGCGTGCTCGAAGTAAAGCGACCCAATCGTAGATCCTCAGACCCAGAAGAACACTGATGCGCACAGCATCCTTCCAACAACCGTACCCGTGAGGCACTCATTGCAGGACTGACGGTATTGGCAAAACCCAGTCACCATCAAAATTCAAGACAAATCAACAAGGAATCTTTGCGAGCACTTTGCGGAGACTTATGCACGACCTAGACACCTGCTCTGCAAAACTTCAGGGTAAGCACTGCACGTGCTCCAGTTTTTGTTCGATCATCGTGGATACAGTATTTAAGCAACAAGCATCATAAGTTGTCCAACTCGCCGGCTCAGCTACTCATCATCCTCCACTCAGCTCGATGTCGCGCCTTTGGCTGAGCAGCCTGAGCGGGCTGCTCGCCTTACCCGCTTATGCCCCAAATCCCGAGGCCTTGCCATGCGTCAACGCTCGGGCCGCCCAGTTCAAGCCGAACACGGCGGTCGGTCACGGCGTGGTGGTGGAGGAGGTCTGGCTGGCGGGTTGTGCTTCGCGAACCTGGAGAAACCCCAAATCGGGGGGAGGAAAAGCTCCCTGAAATCATGGTGACAGTGGATGGCATCGGACATCATGGTGACGATTTCGGGGAGTGCCGCTTCTCACGAAGACTCCGTGAACCGTTCCGTCGCATGGCGCCGTGCCCGCAGCAGAAGCGCCCGCAGCTTCGCGCCGTGACCGAAGCCCAGAGCCCAGGTGACTCGGAGCAACTTCAACCCGGACTGCTTACCGCAAGTGCTCAGGAGCGGTAGTCAGTCCGTCCGTGGATTCGGAATTGAGGTCGACGGTGACTTCGGGTGATCTCTGGTGCTTTTGGGGGATCAAGATCTGATCAACTGGCAAAACCCTACCAAATCAACAACTGATCGATACAGAAGATTGAGCTATAGCCAGGGGCATGTGCTCAAGCCGTTTCGTTGAAGCAGGTTTAAGCCAAAAAACCCAGAGGCGGGGGCGCTCCAATGCCCTACCTTTGGAAGGTCTTGCAAGGCCAACCTCCGTGCATTTCTGTGGAGCGGTGTGTCAGGTCGAAGCTTGGACGCTTGGAAGCTTGGCACCCCACCCACCCCCCCCCTCCCCGGAAGGAGCATCAAGCATCAGAACCGGGCACAACATGTCACAATGGTAGCATTTTCTTTAGCCATGCTGCGATGTTTCATGGCTAGAAAGGTCTAGGTTGCGACCAGCCGCAGTTTAGCCAAATCTGAGTGCAGGTCCTCTAGACATTTCTAGACTGTTCCAGACTTCATTTTTTATTCGGTGTCCATGTGACTCCAGACCTTGAGTGTGCACCACCGGAGGTCTGACCATGCACAAATCACCATGGCGCCGTTGCTTATTGACTTATACATGAAAAGGTGATGTGGTATAGGTGCTGGCCGAACTGGGTGAATCCCCGAGGATTCTCGGGGAAGATCTCGTTTTCTCGGTTCCTGGGAGCCGTGGCTCGTTCCATCCTACCCCCGCGGGCCGTTCAGGAACTTCTCGGACATCGGTGTCCAGGGCCAGGCGCGGCATCCGCGCGGAGTGCGCTGGGTCGCGCCCCGGGTCGGTGTGAATTGCCCAGGGGCGCAGGGAGGGAGCGATGGGAGGGGCTTTGGTTCGTCGTTTCAGGGAGCCTGGTGCATCACTACTTCGGCATCATTTGACTGATATTTGCTGATGGTTCTCCTTGGATCAGAGGCAAACGGAAGGGTAGTGCCCAGAAAGGGTTTTGCAAAAACCTATTCTATAGGGGCCCCTATACTAACATCGTGGAAGGCGTGGGACATTTGTAGAACCCAAGGCTATTCGTGGACAGTTCGTGGAATGGTGGGCCAGTAGGAGAACTGACTGCAACGAAATTCCAGAAACCTTCGCAGAACTTCGTGGCAGGTATTTTTGATGCACTAACTTCGTATAAGCGATTTTTGCTGACCCCCTTTCTCCACACACCCTCCATTTAGCCTTCATTGGAGTTTGTGAAACATAAACCCTGGAGCAGGCGATCTCCCCTTCGTGGAACGATCCGCCTTCGGACATGGCGGACCCCGGCGCATCCGGGCGCATCAGGGCGAAGGGGTAGATCCAACTCTGGAGCCCTGGAAGCTGGAAAACATCCTCAAGGGTTGTTAGGGTAGACGGACTTTTATACCCTCAACTACTTAGGGTCTGGAATCTACGTGATGTTCCAGGGGTCCCTGCCTCCTAGTTGCCGGTTTAGACTTTTCTGAGGGGCGGAGCCTCGTTTCTACACGCGGAATTTCCCTCGAATATACACGCGGAGAATTGATCTCGTTTATACACGCGAAACTCGTTTTTACACGCGGCTCCCTCGTTTGTACACGCGGCTTACACGGCTGAAAAAATGAATGAATGAATGAATGGAACTGGACCAGCTTGTGTCACAATCTGAACCTTGTTGTCTCATTTTACGTCCGCGGACAAAACGATGTAAAATCTTTAGTTGACATGAAAGAATGAAGAACGCAGAGCGTCTGTGTGACGTGAACCTGTGGAAGCAATGAGCAAAAAGAGATCATCATGTAGATGAATGTCCAGAGGGACGTTATTAACACATCATCAATCAAACGAAGCAATGAGCAAAAAGAGATCATCATGACTGAATTGGTGTGTGCGGAAATGAGGCGAATCATGTGTGCGCATTTGAGTTTGGGGTAACATGGGCTGTTTAAAGAGGAATGTAATCGATGTGTGCGGATTTGAGGGGAATCATGTGTGCGCATTTGAGGTAAATATATAAAAAGTCTTTGTGCGGATTTGAGGGGAATTATGTGTGCGGAAATGAGGCGCCATCCCTTTCGTCGTGTCACATGTTGTTGTTGTTGTTGTTGTTGCCATTTTGGCTCAAGGGAAGAAGGGAGTGAAGACCCCAGCCGGGTCGCGATGGACCTGATACTGTGCCGGGCTTTTCTTTACCTCCTCTTGGCCTTTCACGGCTTGGCTGCGACGTTTTCTGTCATCGTGGGCGGTGGTTCTGTTTGGACCGTCGTTTCACGGTTCGTCGCATCTTTTTCACCGTGGAATGAGATTGTCGAGATCGGAGGTTTTCTCCTTCGATGGAAGTTTCTCACCCTTCTAACGTTGTGGTTGGCTGAACATGTTGTCGCTTGGGCCGCATGGCCTAGCGTACATGCAGTTAGTAACGTCAAGTTCTTTCGGTCAACCTTTGTAAAATTTCAAGACCTCAAAAGGCAGCACGAACAGTTGCTTGAAGGGTTTCGAAGGGTTGAGTTGATGATGCGAAAGAAGCCATCTCAGACAAGATCGGTTGCTTCGAGTCGAAAAGAAAACCCGGGAATATGTATTAAGTAAGGAATGTTCCCAGAGGTTCAGAAATCGCTTGGCCACCGCTTGGTATTCTGATGTTTAAAGTGGGTATGTTACCTCGTCGCGCTAGCAAAACGCAGGGTTGCGCTAGGTTCGGCGCTAGGATCAAGTACTTAGGTAACTTAGAAAAGATTAACAAACAAGAGCTGATTGTAACGGTCACTCATTGGTGCACATACACACACACACACACCCGCACAGGCACAAGAGCAGCAACTGTTTGAAAGGCAGCGCGCGCTGAAAAAGGCAGCAACTGTTTGAAAGGGAGTAACTGTTTGAGAGACGAGAAAGCGAGTTCTTGATCACAGACGTTTGGTGGCCTCATGCACTGGCAGGGAAGCGCGCTAGATCCGCGCTAGACCCGCGCTAGATCCGCGCTAGACCCCTTTGCAACTTTGACCACTTGTCCAAGTGCTTTCCAGGGTGTATAGTCTTGGCAATTTGTTTCTGTGTGCAAGAGGATGGCTACTTTCAGCTTCACATTTGGAACCATTGGACTCTGTAAGTAAGAACGCAGCTGTTAAAAGGGCATACACAACATACAACCATATACATGAGCGCATGTTGGGTACATGCTGGCCACCGCTTGGAATTGTGATTTCAACCTAGGATAATGATTTTTGAACGTTTTTTTTTTCAACTCCTAAGTGTTTTGAACCCGTTTCACTCTTCAGCTGTTGTAGCACTTGCTCCCAGAAGTGGTAAATCTACTCTTTGCGCTCTGCTCTGCATTGCTTGCAGGACACGACGGAGCTTGGAAGAGGTTTATCGGGATTATGCAGCTCGCTTGCCTCATGATTTCCACTTCACAGCGAAGCAGATAATCTCTTTCCTTGGATTCCCGGATGAGGATGATGATTTTGTTGATCTGGACCAGGTTTTTGCTGATCCACCGCGTCATTTGGCACAGGATGTCTTGATGTGGATGGAAGGGTTCAACAAAGGGATTGTTGACGACGTCCTCTACAGGGATTTATTGGTAAGATATTACGACAGTTTGGAGAGGAAGCCCAGAGTCGTGTTTACGAACGTTGTCGCCGGAGTAACTTTGCCTCTCCTTTGTTGCAAATTGCCTTTGGATGAACTCCGTATCCGTTGGCGGAAGAGGACAAGCCAGGATGACGTAGAAACCCAACGGCAGAAATTGGATCTCTGGGAAAGGGTTTGGAATGAATTTCCCAGAACTCAAATTGAAAATGAAGCCTTGATTCGGTTTCTGTCCGTTCAATTCTGCCGGTTCAAAGACCTCTTGGCCGGATATATTGAAGTGGAATCTGGTCTTGATCCGGATTTGAATGAGCGGACTTTGGAGTCCTTACGTGATTTGCTGCTTTCGCCGCGTTATACAGAAGAACTCTCCGGCATCTCACGCAGTGAGGTCTCACGATGTCAATCTGATGGATCGGGAAATGAAGTTGAGTTCTCGGTTGACAGGATCGTGACACAAGCTGCAGTGGATATCCTGCCTCAACGCATTTACGACAAGGTCTTCAAAGCCGCAAAAATCCAGGCGTCAAAAAAAAACGCGGGTCTTGGCCCTTCTGAAACACGCGCATTCGATTTGCGCAGTGTACAGGCCGACGCTTTCGGATTTGGATGCTTTCGTCCAAGGTTGGTCAGCCTGTGAATGGCCAGCTCTTAAAAGGGAACAATTATTGACTGATTTGACGTTGGCTGTGGATTGGTATCGTTCAGGCGATCCAACGTTCCTGTCCGCACTCGGAATCGAGCTGACTAAGCATGGCGGCTTCTCCGCTGAGCGCGGCGTTTCCAAGCGTCAGAGTTCTGTCTATTTTGTAGCACTCTTGAGGAATGCTGCGGATGGAGATCAGTATGCCGTGGAAGCTCTGAAGACTTTCTGCGTTGGAACAAGATCGAAAGAAGTCTTGCTGGAGGGAGTCGTGCCCATCTTTTCAGCTCAGCAGCAGACTGCCCTTGCAGGGTCTTCACTGGCCGCCTGCCGCATTTTTACGTATGGATCGTTGCCGACATGCAGTTGTCGCAGGCAGGGCGTTAACCCACTCTCTCATGGAGGAGCAGAAGACCTCAGCCAACGCAACTGTTTCAACTTTTGATGATCCGTTCTTCCCTGGTGCCGTGCGCCATCTTTACCTGCGCTTGTTTCGGTCAGGACTTTACCGGTATCCGCGGCTTAAGCAGCTCATTGAGAGTGAAAGATGGGACAGTACTGAACTCAGACTTGCTGTGGATGGTCTTCAGAAAGTGCCGGAAAGCGTCTTGACTCAGTTTCTGGCTCTTCCAACTCAGTCCTACGATCTTAAAGGGAATGATTCACGAAGCCGTGCGTCAACCGGAAAGGCCGTGCAGGAGGCGCAAAAGCCTTTACGAGACAAGAGCTCGATGGATAGCTCTCCGATGCCTCCCGTGGTGCTCGTACATGAGCGCTGAGCGTGCAGCGCCAACGAGCTCGAGGGGCCGATGAACACACTGCTGCCTTTGCTGCTTCACCTTCATTTTCTCTGGAGGCTGATTAGTACCCTCGGCAGTTTTGAGAACTCGATGGCATCCCAGCTCAGGGAGGCCTCCCACTTCGACCGCATGTCTCGTCCGTGGTCCCAAGTCCGCGGGTCTTGCAATCTAGGTAGGAGTCCCACTCTTCCATTCGAGCAAGACAAAGGTGAGGGTTGTGACAGGTCCATGACTGTCACGGGAGCGGTCCACCCCTCTTGGGGAACCGCAAAAACACATGGATCCACGCCCACTGTTCGAGACCATCACCTGGTCTCCAACCATAAGAGGAGCTTTCGGAGGGCCGTCAAACGTGCCAGGGTTGAGGGATATGCATGGTTTCGTGGTCGTCTGTTTGATGCCAAAGAACTTGGTACTCAGGTCTGTCCACGTCCTAATAACAAGCCCTCCCCCGTGGCCCCACCTCTGACACCAGCACGTTCGGATCCGAGGAATCGAGTCCACATATTCAGCTGGAACTGCAGTGGTCTCAGCAGAGTGCAACTGGAGGAGATATTGGAGTGGGCGGCTCTGCAACCCTTGCAGCTGCTCGTCCTCCAAGAAATTCGCTGGCAAGGAACCCGAGAGTGGTCCAACCAGAACTGGCATTTTATAGCTGTAGGCGGTATCCCACGTCAGGCTACTGGGGTCTTAATCGCGGTTCGACGATCGTTCTGCCAGATTCACCAAATTTCTTGGCGTAGTATTTG